TGCGGAGGGGGAGGCGGGGGATGGTGGGAGGCGGTGCCAATCTGCTCATTGTTGATGTGCCAGCTGTCACAGAGGGTGGGGGAGTCACCAGGCCCTGCACCCCCATCCACAGCCAGACATGACTCTCAGCCAGCAAGTAGAACAGAAGGTTTATTTGTTGACAGGGACACAGCGTAGCACAGACTTGTTCTTACAGGAACCAGGAGTATTCAGTACAATCCAACTTGGGGATAGGGGGCCCACAGCCCTGGCTCTGGGCCCCTGCCTGGCCCCCCAAGCCAGCCAAAAAACTAACACACACACCTAGCAACTGGGTAGCCTCCAGGCTGCCTCTCCTACTCCTTTTGTCCTGCTTCCCGGGCAAAGTGTCAGCTGACTGAATCCTCCACCTAGCTCATGTGTCAGGATGGCATGGGCCATTCTCTACATGCCTTCCCTCAGGAGTTCTCACCCAAAGATCCCATCCTGCGTTGGGCACTGCGCGCACGCAGGCACGCACACACAGGACAGTAGGAATCACATACAGCATAACAACCTACTCCTTTTGTCCTGCTTCCCGGGCAAAGTGTCAGCTGACTGAATCCTCCACCTAGCTCATGTGTCAGGATGGCATGGGCCATTCTCTACATGCCTTCCCTCAGGAGTTCTCACCCAAAGATCCCATCCTGCGTTGGGCACTGCGCGCACGCAGGCACGCACACACAGGACAGTAGGAATCACATACAGCATAACAAAGTCAACAGTGAATGCAAAAACAGAGTGAACACCGCAACCACATGAGTGAACACAGTCCCCACTACGTCACACCAGCGGCTGGAGGACCCGATAACAGCGTTGGTGCCACACCGAGCACCTGTGGGTCAGGGTGGGAGGCGGTGCTGCACCTGGCACCAGAGTCGAGATCGACGGCACCGAGGTACTGCAATGATGTCTTCTCGCATCCCAGGCCGGGGCATTCGGTGCCATGGCCGTGTGATGGTGCTGTCTGGCATCACACTCCTTTGCTGGGCCCAGTGCCGAAGTCAGGGACGAGGTCAGCTCGATAAATTCTCTCGCTGCCTCGAAAGTGTCCAGAGCAGAGGACCCCAGGCGGGCCACCACAGGGCTGGAGTCCCGACGTGGGCTAGAGCGGTGCTGTGCTCGCCGGTGCCACATGCCCCACCTGAGGGCTCACGGATGGCACGTGCCTTGAGGGAGACCTACCCCATCTAGGTCTCCTCTTCTACTGGGGACTGGGACTGGTGCCGAGGCCTATGTGGCGCCGGGGAGGTGTGTGAGTGGCTGGGTGCCCCCCCCACCAAAGCCAGTGCGCTCTGGGTCACTGGTGCTGGGCGAAGAGCTGCCTCCATGAGAATGATCTTCAAGCAAGACTCTCTCACTCGGTGCGAAGCTTGAAGCCCCTGCAGATCTTACACGCTTTGGACAGGTGGGCTTCACTGAGGCACTTGAGGCAGGCTCCTTGGGGATCCCCACAGGGCATAGGCTTCTGTTCCAATGACCGTCATGAGTGGTAAGAATGAACTGAGGGGGTGGAGGGCCAGCCGGGGGAGGGCTCCCCTGCTGGCCCAACAGATACTGCTAAGTGAAAAGCTTCAGACGACACATGCATGCAGCGTGCGCACACCTACATGGACTGGACATGAGCAATCACTTGAATAACCGCCCTCCATTTCTGCTTACCCACACCCTGCCTTGGAACACCTTAAACCCTTCTCCAGATCCATCTGCACAAATCTAATATATGAAACATTAAAAATACCTACCTTTGCTAGACGTTCTTTCTTGTCCCACCAGTCATCAAAGGCTCTAAATGCTACCACCTCGACCATTTTCCGGTTTAAGTCCCTTTTCATAATTGCTCGCCCTCCATTTCTGCTTACCCACACCCTGCCTTGGAACACCTTAAACCCTTCTCCAGATCCATCTGCACAAATCTAATATATGAAACATTAAAAATACCTACCTTTGCTAGACGTTCTTTCTTGTCCCACCAGTCATCAAAGGCTCTAAATGCTACCACCTCGACCATTTTCCGGTTTAAGTCCCTTTTCATAATTGCTTTTAGTTCCTTCACAATTACCAAGAGAACACCATCCACTGTAGCCTTGTGCGGATCCTCCTTCTTCGGCACGTAACCCGGTGGTGGGACTGAAGGGTCAAACTTGGGCAGCGGTGGCCATTGCTGCCCCCGGCCAATAGCTGCCCCCATTACAAAAGGGCGGTAGGGAGGGAGGTTCACAAACTGCATCCGACTTCCCATAAAAGGTGGGTACTGATAGGTGTTCTGTCCCTGCATCATGCGGCTCAGCATCTGAGTTTGCATCTGAAAGGACATTGGCATGCCGCCCCACTGGTTGCCCAGGACATTTATCATATCCACTTGCATGACAGGAAACATGCCAGGATGGAATGGAGGAAGTGGAGGCAAAATATGAGGCGGTGGGACCCCAGGTGGCGCAGGAAGCGGAGGTGGAGGGACAGTGACGGCAGGATGAGTTGGCGGAGGTGGTGGTGGGAGAGGCGGTGGCATTGGAAAACCCGGTTGGGGTGGTGGAGGGGGTGGAAGTGGAGGGAACCCTGGAGGGGGCATGGGTATCGATTGTGTCATCACAGCAGAGTTGCTAACAGAGGAGTTCACCACAATGGTTTTGGCACATTCTGCACTGGTGATCGGTGAAGAATTCATTTCATCGTCGGATATTTCCATGTCCTCCCCTGAGGAATGCTGACCCTGGAAGAAAGGGGAAGAGAAACACATTCCTTTAATATAAGTTACCTTCACTTTGGCTGCTTAGAACAATAGCCACAAACTAAATTCCACGTTTTCGTCATCAGATATTTCCATGTCCTCCCCTGAAGAATGCTGACTCTGGAAGAAAGGGGAAGAGAAACACATTCCTTTAACGTAAGTTACCTTCACACTGGCTGCTTAGAACAACAGCCACGTTACTGACATTTTAATCATAACTGGAGAAACCCAAGTGCTATACTGGAAGGTGTGTCCCACTGAGCACACAGAGTTTCATTTAAGTCATTCTGTTTCACATCAGCCTACACATGGAACCTCGAGGAAGAGGTAAAGCAGAAGCTATCTCACCGTGAAACAGCACTAGCCCCCTGAATAGCAAAACTCTGCTTCTATGCAATAGTAATTGCTGCCCCCATATTTCGTGAAGCACCTAGACCCCCACATCAGTGGAAAACACAATCTCTTACCAACAGACAGTTCTGATAGAGAATAAAAATTGAAAAGAATAACTAATCTACCTTATGCTATCCAGCAAGTCAGCGTTTCCATTTTTTGAAAGCATAATCCTCAGAATTTAGCAGCTAAAAGCCGACCTCAAGTAACAGTCAGAAGAGATGTGAGTTTCATATTAATGCTTTGAACTGCTACAATTACGCCTTATGACAGTGTTTCAGGCTAGGAAAGGAGCTCCATATCTACTTTTCAATTGTCTTTGATCCTCACAGATTGAATCCAAAATTCTCAGGGTATGTCTACACTACCCTGCTAGTTCGAACTAGCGGGGATAATGTAGTCATCCGCAGTTGCAAATGAAGCCCGGGATTTGAATTTCCCGGGCTTCATTTGCATGAAGCCGGCCGGCGCCATTTTTAAATGCCGGCTAGTTCGAACCCCGTGCC